TTAATAAATTTTTTGTATAATTTAAATTAACTGATTAATTATTTAATGAATTTTAATTAAAAATTTTGAATATAAATGTTTTCTCCAAAATGTTAAAAATAATTCTAAAATATTATTTTCGTATGTATTTGGATTTCTGGAAATATGTAATTATAAATACTGAAAATATTGCATTTTAAAAAATTGGTTGCTAATTTTTATTAATTTTAAAGATTTGTTTATAAGTCGAAAAAAGTCCCAATTTTCTTACTTTACTTAAAAAAAAATTTTTTATTGACATTTCCCTGACTTTACTGAAAAAGTTTTGTTTCCCTGACTATGATGTTAATATAACAATATAATAATTAAAAAAATAAAGTGTTTATTTAAATTATAGTGTTTATTCATTATTTTAATCGTTAATCATTTTCGCAATTTAGTGCTTTGAAATATGTTCAAAAATGAGCTTTATTACTTTTTAAAATGCAGGAGTAACATTAAAGAAAATATTTGTATATTTTTTTTTTGAATTTTCCCAGAATTTTTCACGAAACAATTATCAACTCATTAATAAGTTCCTTCACTAAACGTGAAGTTGAAACCTACCATATCGACCAAGTTTCAAATTCTAGAAGTACCGGTATCTAAACCTAGACGTCACCGCCAAATCAATAAATAATTGAAAAATAAATTTAAAGCTATGAAAAAATGTGAGACTAACTCTGCTGGGGCTCGAAACCCAGAACCTATCAATTGCCGGTTGATTGCACTTCTACTGAGCTACAGAGGTCCACCTCCAACAAATTTTCATAGCCTTATCGACTCAATAGTCAAGATGGTTCGTATTCTTCTGCATATTAATTTTGAATTTTCCCAGAATTTTTCACGAAACAATTATCAACTCATTAATAAGTTCCTTCACTAAACGTGAAGCTGAAACCTACCATATCGACCAAGTTTCAAATTCTAGAAGTACCGGTATCTAAACCTAGACGTCACCGCCAAATCAATAAATAATTGAAAAATAAATTTAAAGCTATGAAAAAATGTGAGACTAACTCTGCTGGGGCTCGAAACCCAGAACCTATCAATTGCCGGTTGATTGCTCTTCTACTGAGCTACAGAGGTCCACCTCCAACAAATTTTCATAGCCTTATCGACTCAATAGTCAAGATGGTTCGCATTCTTCTGCATATTAATTTTGAATTTTCCCAGAATTTTTCACGAAACAATTATCAACTCATTAATAAGTTCCTTCACTAAACGTGAAGCTGAAACCTACCATATCGACCAAGTTTCAAATTCTAGAAGTACTGGTATCTAAACCTAGACGTCACCGCCAAATCAATAAATAATTGAAAAATAAATTTAAAGCTATGAAAAAATGTGAGACTAACTCTGCTGGGGCTCGAAACCCAGGACCTATCAATTGCCGGTTGATTGCTCTTCCACTGAGCTACAGAGGTCCACCTCCAACAAATTTGTATATTTTTCAAATGTGCATTGTCCACGTGGATAAGTGTAAAGGGGGAGGGGTTTTCCAAATGTTCACGATTGTCCACCACCGGAGGCGGGGGGGGGTCAGAAATTGGTGAAAAATTGTCCATTTGGTTAATGGAATACCGATAAAATGAATACCCCTCACTCTTACCTCGATCTTCCTCTCTTTCACTCCTTAATCTATCTATGAGTGAGAAAAGAACAATAATTAGCCAATAAGGAAATAAGACTCCCTTTTCGTATTTTGGCTTGAAAGTGAAATTCCCCACTGTTCCTTTCACTTCCAATTTCTGTTCCTCTCTTTCTACCTAACACGGAGATTGGAGAAAACATTATGCTCTTCTGTAAACTAAAGAAATAGGCGTTACTATCTTACTACCTATTCGTCTCTCTTTCCTTCCTACACTAAACTAAAAGGAGAGACAATACCTCCCTCTCTTTCTCTTTATCATGCTTTCTCTCTATTACTGTGACAGACAGAATGAGTATGAAGATTAATATAGTTAATTGTCATGTACATAGCTTCGATAGTGTAGTGGTTAGAGTGTTGGGCTAGAAATCCGTAGGTCGTAGGTTCGATTCCCCGCAGTGTCAAATTTTATTTATTAGTTATAGGTCTGCGTTTATTCTGTGTCGTAAAGAAAAACTTGATTAAAAGTTGAAAGTTGAGGATTATTACATGCTTGTAAATACAAATTAATTTTTTTTACATTCTCATCACATGAGAAAGTATTAGTTTTGTTTTAATATATTAACATTGAATTTAAATAAATTTCTCATTTGTTTCGTTAAATAAACTTTTCTAACTAGTTTCTAGACAGAAATTACGAATTACTATTCTATTTAGCAAAACAATCCCAGGCGGAAAAGTCGGAGTTTACAACCGGCTGGGATCCGCGCCCGTACAGACCGCAAGTACCGACGGTCTGTACCGATTCGGATCTGAAAAAGCAACCGGCGCGGTACAGATTATGCTCTGACTGTCGGAACCGTCTTCCCACTATTGTCAGTATTGGCTCGGTACTGGATTTCTTCCGCCGGCGGATCTTATTCTTCTGCGGCGTCGGAAGAATGACGTATATGTTGAGTCTGTACTGGCTCGGTACTGGGGCGGATCCGACTGCGGATCTCGTCATTTATTGTCACATTATAAATTAAATAATTATTACAAGTAATTGCATTATTTTAGAAAATAATTATTAATAAATGAATCTAATCAATATATTAAGTAATTATTTATTGAGACTTTTTTAAAAATTAAATAATTAGAAAAATTCGTTATTAATTATATTATATATTATTAATTAATAATATCTCAATAATAATTGAATAATAGTTTCTAAATATAATAATATTGAAGGTAATGATATTAATAATTTTAATTAATATCTCAATAATAATAAATTTATTGTTATTGATATATTATTAATTTATATTAATATTGATAATTTATTATTAATTCTCAATAATAATAATGTTAATTAATAATATATAAAATTAGTTAATAATATATTAATAATAATAAATTTATTATTATTGAGATATTAATTAAAATTATTAATATTATTACGTTCAATATTATTATATTGAAAAACAGTTATTCAATATATGTATTATATAATAATAAAAATATAACAAGTTTCTTTTTTAACGAAATATTGAAATAGTCCTAAATATACATTCAATAAAGTATTGAAAATATAGCGGTATCATTGACGCGTAGTAATTCTGCAAGTTTTATTTGAGCTAGTGACACTTGAGAGTATTTAAGATTTGAGAGTCCCATGCGAGTGTAGCATAGTGGTTAGCGTGCGAGATTTCGGTGCGTAAAAATTCGGTTAGGCGTATGTTCGTACCCCCAAGCGTCAGGATATGTCAAATGTCTATGTAATAAAAAATTGCGTTTAAGTGTATAAAAAAATGTGTAAAGTGAACTGTCAATGAATTGTCATTAGTATTTATCTTTTGTAATTAATTATTATTTTTTGTATTGATATTTGTTGAAATTATCATTTGGATCCGACCCGGTTGTCAGTCGGTAGAATGCCAGCGCTCAGCTGGCTATTAAATGAAAAGTCCGCGGTCGGTAGACTGACAGATCCCAGCCGATTGAATTATACACGAAACGGCTTCTCCCGGTCGGTCAGCGGGCTGTAGAATGCCAGTTCCGAGCCGGTTGCCAGCGCGCTCCTGGCATAGTCACTATTCGGTAGAACGCCCGTTCACATTCGGGCCGGTTGGAAATTTCCGCCTGGGATGTTGCGCCAATCTTGACATAACTATCTCGCACATAAAGGATACAAACGTTACATTTCGGTCTAGCCTCTAAATTGGCAAGATATACCGGGCCAGTATAGCAACTAGACAAATTAGACGGGAACTGCGTAGCGCCATTATAATTTTCTGCACGGGCAGTGTTATCAATAATAAATTATACTTAAGACGGGAATAAGACGAATTTTAATATTTAAGAAATAAAACTTAAAACAATCAAGTGACCGAATTTACCCTGGAAAATTGTGATTTTGAAATTTTGTATACACTACCGTCCAAAATTGTGCGAACGCTAACATCTCGAGCTATTAAGAAACACACTCGCACAGAAACAGTGATAACTCGGTTAAAAATGAAGCTAGATGCTTTTTTTAAATTGCATTGGAAAGCTTATTAAATTTCCAATGAAATGCTACTATTTTAAGTCGTATTGCATAAATAGGAAGCGAGATATCATGTTATGATATTCCTTGTAACCTAAGCTTTAAATAGAGACCAAGAACAGCAAAAAATATTTAAGGGTTCCGGAGATATTACAAAAAGAGTCGGACCGTGCGAAGCAGAATTTTCAATCATCGATTTCTCTAATTCGCCGTTGAGTCAATTGCGTGTCTGTGAAAAAAGTGTCGAAAATTAATTTTACCAAGTACATTCTTACTGGGATCCATTTTTTAATTTAATTTATTATATATTGATATTTAGAAAGTGGATTCCAGTAAGAATGTACTTGGTAAAATTAATTTTCGACACTTTTTTCACAGACACGCAATTGACTCAACGGCGATTTAGAGAAATTGACGATTAAAAATTCTGCTTCGCACGGTCCGACTCTTTTTGTAATATCTCGGGAACCCGTAAATATTTTTTACTGTTCTTGGTCTCTATTTAAAGCTTAGGTTACAAGAAATAGTCTGTGAAAGTAACAATTTTTTTCATCAACTTTTCTAAATTTTGCCAGAAGTCAAAGTTAGGGTAAGAAATTCCAAAAAAAATAGAATTATTTTTTTGTCGTCATAACATGATATCTCGCTTCCTATTTATGCAATACGACTTAAAATAGTCACCCGAAGGTGTCAATCACACATATGTGAGTAGTTTAAAGATGATTTAGGAAGTGTGCGCTTTAAGGATTAATCGATATAATGTTATATTTTACAAAACTAAAAGATAAAATAAATCGAATAAAACATGAAAAGATAAGAATTAAAGAAAATAAAAATATAAGATTAGGAAAACAAGAATTTTACCCAAAGAGAGCCCTTCGGTGATGAACTACTGCACTTAGGGAGATGCTTCCTCTTCTCGATGTTGGTGACCTGACACGTGAATGTGTGCCAATTGCATTCTCAATATCGGTAGACAAGTTATTAGAAAGATTGTGAGTATAACCAGCAGAATTGATCTGCTGAGCAGCACCATATTTCCTTTCGTTGCTGCAAATTATTGTATAATAAAAATATCCGATCAATTACCTCTCTCGTAGAAACTTATTATAACTACCAAGTTAATTCGCTGGAAAAGTGATTGATGTGTATTTCGTAGATTGCAATTCAGTTGAAACTTTCAATGAAAAGTTTGTATATATTGAAGAAACTTACGAAAGTTTAATATATTGTATAAATACAGATGCAAGTACTTACGGGACAAGTGTGTTATTCGTCATTTCACTTTTGTATTCTGAGTTGAATTCTCTTGTAGAATGAACCTAATTATGGACACTTGAGTTTAGAGAAAGACAGACAGAAAAGAAGAGAAAAAGAATTGTAGAAAGAAAACGAAGAAAATATACAGAGGGATAGAGAAAGAAACCGCAAAAGAAACCTGGATAACATTTTAAAGTTTTCCGCATGAAACGAACGTCGTGCAACAATCCTTTCCGTTTATTCCACGACAATGCATCAAACTTTTCAGTTAGTCGAAGTCAACCTCGGTATTTGTTCGGTTGCTCTTTCCATCAGCTCTTTCCCTTCCCCGCCTTTATTTCTTCGCCCTTTCACAAAACTTGGAAAATTTATTTCCGGAAAATTTGGTTCCTTTGAATTTTCAGTTGTACGTCAACCAATTGCATAATTTATTATGCATTTTCTAGGTGTATCACTTTTGGGAAACAATTTAAACAATTATAATTTATCAATTTAAACCAATTTTAAATTTATATGTGACGCTCCACGAGAAAAGGGACCTTATGACAAGAGTAAATAAGGTCTCTTTTCTCGTGGAGCGTCACATATTACACAGTGCAACAGAATTTCACTTTTTTATTATTTCTGGGATCGCATAGGGTGATTTTGATAGGTTTTTTGATGCTGAATGCGAATCCGTAATCAGAATTGTTCCATGACCCTAGGTTTTCGATAAATTTGACCTTGAAAATTGAAAAATGGACGTTTTTGGGATACTTTTTGGATTTTTATCAGGGTACAAAAATTTTTTCTAGTGTTTTCATGATATGAGTACGAAAGCTCACATCATCCTCAACAATCTCCAATTTGAACATTTTAAAAATATTTTTTTTTCGATGAGTTATCTTTGTTTTTGTTAAATTATTGTTAAAGAATTTGAAATGATAAACAAAAAAGCAATGGTTCATTTATTTTTGATTTTCCTAAGAATGTAATAGTTTCTTTAATGAATCATTGGTTTCTGCTTGAGATTTAATGGGTTAATATTAATAATAGTAATATTATGATAATATTTTTCTCACTGTTATCCCATTTGACGTTACGATGCGAACTTCAAACAAGGATAGCTCATTGAAAAATAGATATTTTTAAAATGTCAAGATTGGAGATTGTTGAGAAGAATAGCTTTCATACGAATATCATGCAAACACTAGAAAAAATTTTTGTACCCTGATAAAAAACAAAAAAATACCTGAAGAACGGCATTTTTGCTAATTTTACGATGCGACGCGAACATCAAACAAAGATAACTCATCGAAAAATAGATATTTTTAAAAGGTCCAAATTGGAAATTGTTAAGGGGAATATGGGCTTTCGTACGCATATAATGAAAACCCTAGGAAAAATTTGTATATATATACAACCCTGATAAAAAACCAAACTCTCTAAATCTGAATATGTGAAAATTCACATATTTGTACGTTATAAGTTGTCTTCTCGATCAATAAGTGCATATACACTTATAATAAGTGAAATTTCACTCAGAATTAGTGAAAAATTCACTTATTTATAAGTGTATATGCACTTATTGATCGAGAGGACGACTTATAACGTACAATAAGTGAAATTTCACATATTCAGATTTAGAGAGAAAAGTACCCAAAAAACGGCCTTTTTTCAATTTTCAAGGTCAAATTTCTCAAAAATCTAGGGTGATGGACCAATTCTGATTACGGATTCGTGTTCGGCATCAAAAAACCTATAAGAATCACCCTATGTAATCCCAGAAATAAAAATGCTGTTGCACTGTGTTATGATTCCAAATTCATATTATAACTTTATATAATTAATCCCAAAGATAATAATAATTAATAATTATTTTTCGATAACAAACTTCTTGTCACGATGCGATGGTAGAAAAATATCTGACTTCAGTTGATCGATTTCTCCACTGTTTGTAATATTCACTACATAGTGATTCAAGAATGACTATCGCAGTTTCTATATTACCTATGTTGTGCTGACAAAAGAGAATGTTTATCTATATATTTCTTGTAGTGAAATAATTGAAAGTTGTATTATAAATATGCGAGTGAGACACAAAGAGTTTGAACACACAATCCTTTAATTACTTAAGAATTAGCGAGAGAACGTGGTATTTGACAAAATATTTATTCTCAAATGACGCGAAACAGTTAAAAATATGTGCTAGAACGCATTTCTATAACTAGACTAAAAATTTTTTATAATAAATGCATTCATGCGGAAAAATGATTTAAAAATTTAGTTCACATCTGCTAATAAGCGTACAAATTATATAGGTGCAGTCGTTAATGATTGGAACAATCATTCAAGTTACTGATCCATCTAACTTCATTTACAAAATAAATTTTCAAGTTGATAGACATGAGACAAAAAGAATTAAAAAACACTAATCACTGGTTTTTAATAGATAGCAAAATTTGGCATTATTAATTAAAAAAATATTTGCAATATTTGCAAAGGCTATAATTCTGAAAATGTACAATTTCATAATAATAATAAATATAATAAAAAATTGCATTCATGGATGCAATTAGATTAGTTTTATTTGATTCGCGAGTTTTTCTATTAAAAATATACGATAATATATCGCTCACGTAATCTAAAATAAAATTACACTGCTTAAAAAATAATAATTTGCATATTTTAATACCAAATATATTCAGTTTAATTAAAATATAAATGTAGTTAAAGTATTTGATTTGATGGTTATTTGCGTTAATTTTTTTAAAATAATGTAGGTAAATACTAAAAAAAGAAAAACTTGCACATTTCAAGAAAAAGACTTTGGCGATGAAAAATACATTTTTTCAAATTTATTCACATTAGGATACAATTAAAATATATTTTTTAGTAAAATATACAAATTCCACACCGTAATTTTATATAATCATCGAAATATTCCGTTAAATTTACTTGTATATTCAATTATTATTTAATAAAATGAAAAATTTGAAAATGATTGTTAATCAATCTTTTACGTCCGAGAAATAGTAATTATAGTAAAGGAGAATGAAACTAAAACATTCGGACAAATAGTTTTTAAAAACTAGTGGAGTAAACTAATTTTTAAAAACTATTTGTCCGTCCGAATGTTTTTGTTTCATTCTCCTTTACATTAAAAATGATGAAATTGAATTTTTACTCGAGCCAGTATGTAAAATTTCATTATTTATAAAAGCAATAATTTTTCTTCTTTTTATAAATAATATATAGGAAAATTAAACATCAGATTCTAAGCCTTATTTTAATGTGCATTAAAATTTTGTTTAGGATATTTTTAATGTATAAAAATATCAGTAATTATATGAAGTAATTTTAACCTAAAACTTAAGATAAAGTTTAAACATTTTTATCAAAAATAAAACTAAGGTCTAAAAAATTTTTAAATGCATATAATCATAGATAAAACATTGTTCTTTCTGACACTATTTTTAAAATATTTCTAAAAGTTCGAAAAAACTATAAAAATTTAGTTTTTATATAGAAGTTCTATTCAAGACATGATAAAAAGGAATCGGAGATGAAATTATTTTAGTTACTGCATAAATGCAGATGAATAAAATTGTTTAATTTTTTTTAAATGATAAGTAGGTATTTGTTCATTCCGTTAATAAAATTTCTATATTTAATTTATGAACTTCAACCAAAAAATCATTTATAAATAAGTGGGAAGTAGTTTATATAATTTAATATTCTTAATAGTTTTTGTAAAATACTAATCTTTAAATCATGATATTCCTGAAAAAAATAATGTGAGAAACTTAAGAAATCTACAGTTAGAAAGCTTATAATATTCTATGTTAAATACAGTCAATCCTCCACAATGACGGATCAGCCCGAAATTTCCCCTTCTCTTATCCTTCACTTTGACGGTTGCCTACGTCACACCTCCTAACTACTTTTTCAGGGCTGTCCATATTGTATATGGGTGATTTTCACGTAACTGTGCAATTTCAAAATCAGTTTTAAAAGAAAAAAAATTTTGTTTTTTTAATGTTAAACATTACTTTTCCTCATCATTAGGGCATAATATAGTTGTAATTTAAACGGTTTTACTACAGCTATGATTATAAAAAAATTATAACAAATTTTCGAAAATTGGCTGCCACGGAGCTGACCACCCTATGCTCAACTGGGGCTATTTTATGTACGCGAGGTATTTAATAAATAAAATTATTAAAAAGAACCTCTTTGCCAAAAAACCATAAATAAGTTAATTAAAATCCTTAAAACTTCAACCGGTAAGCAAAATAACGGCAAAAAATTAACTTTAATTAATATTTATAAGTTTTTCAAATTAGTTTTAAAACTATTTCTCTCGTTTCTCTAATAACTTGAAAAGTGTATTAGATATTAAATTGTTATTCATTTAACCTTAAAATATTAATTTCAAGTTTTTGAAAAATATAATATTGAAAACGTTTAAAAATAAAATGAAATAATGAAATAATGATATTTGAAATAATGATATTTGAAATAATGATTCAAAGTTATTTACATGTGTTTAAATGATAGTTTTATAATTACCATAATGTATTATTGTAAAATGTATATTTAAAAAGAAAAAGTGTTATTCATTTTCTGAGTAATATAAAATTTGAAGAAAGGTTCTTAATTTTTAATAAATCATGATTTTAGCAAAATCTTAGTGTTTTATTTTACATTTTGTCGTATAATATTTACATACAACATTTTTTTAATATCTCATTCTTTTTTTAATTTACTCTGAAATGTCTACACAAAAGATTCAATGAAGGAGAAAGGATCAAAAAAATGTTTACGTAACATTATAAAAAGACAAAGTTCCATGCACAAAGTAGCTTCATCCCGGGGTCTACTTTGTGCACAACTTTTAATGACTACAACTCCGACAAAAAAATTTATTTCATTGCATTGTTTTGGCTACCTGCTATGCAACAAGCCATGTAACCAACAAAAAAAAACTCATAGGAAACCTTCAGAAGGAAGTCCATAACATATGTCAAAAGTTGATTTTCTTTTAATTCTGAATTTGAATAAAGCATTGAGTTAAAAAAAGCATTTTAATGCAAAAAATAGCCCCTGCAAAAATATTTACTATCAGCTTGACATAACGAGAGAATTTCATTTACATAATATTATAAAATTAGCGCATAAAAATAATTTCAGAAAAGTATTCACCAATAAGGCTATTCAAGTTGGGTGGGGGAAAATTCAAGATGGATGCTAACTGGTGCACAAACATTGTATAGAAAGTGTATGGGATAGAGTCTAATTTTTTAAATATCTCGCTTAAACGAAATTTTTAACCATAAGTTTATTAGGATTTTATGTTTCATTTTTAAAGAACTATTTTTTGCAATAATAAAATCAATAAAAAAATTAAATCGATTTTTATTATTGCAAAAAATAGTTCTTTAAAAATGAAACATAAAATCCTAATAAACTTATGGTTAAAAATTTCGTTTAAGCGAGATATTTAAAAAATTAGACTCTATCCCATACACTTTTTATACAAAGTTGGTGCACCAGTTAGCATCCATCTTGAATTTTCCCTCACCGAACTTGAATAGCCTTATAAGAGCGTTACGATCAACAGTAATACTGTGCTTCAGGCGCGGATCCACGGTGGGGCGAAAGGGGAAATCGCCCCCCCAAACACACTTACTCACAGTGTAATGTTAGGTATTAATATGTCCATGCCTTCATTACTATAAGGTTTTAATTTACGAATCGCCCCCCCCCAAAATCTGCTTCTGGATCCGCGCCTGCTGTGCTTCTGCTTGGTTGACATAAAGACATTTTAAATTAAGCACCAAAAGTAAAGGCTTTTTTTCGAATATTAAGGAATTTTTTAATGAGTCAACGGTTGCCGAAGCACTGAAATATAAAAGGACACAACTATGTCTGTCCTCTTCTATAATATGTGTTGTTGTAGCAACCGTTGATCCATGAATTTGCACCTTCACACTGTACGCCACAGGCGCCACGGAACTGACATTTTATGTGACACCACGGAGCTGACATTTGACATTTAAACTAACCTAACTCCGACAATTTTGCAAAATAAATCTTTCCTTTGAACAGATAATTTGTTTCTAATATAATCTTCGAAAAAATCGTAATAATTACCACAGAGAGTGTTTAGATTAAAGGAATAGTAATACCACGGTACTGACCACTTCTTTTGTGAACTTCACATTTTTACAAAAAAAATGTTTTTAACTGTAGAACTTCCAATTTTAGAACTTTTTTTTTACAGATATTTGTTGCTAATGGATCTTATTTTAGATTGTAATTCTTAAATAACATTAAAATGTGCCATAAACACTTAAATTATAGGGAAAAATATCTTATTACAAAATTGAAAAAATTTGTGGACAAAACTATTTTACATTTTATAACTTTATAAGAAGTATTAGAAGATGCATTATATGCACAAATTGTTCACCTATATACACAATTCATATTATAAAAATGCTTGTTTCCAGTTTCGACGTTTTCAGTAAAATTTCTGAATTTTAACTTAAAATTTTAAAAAACGGACACGCCACGGAGCTGGCATTTTGGAGGGAATTCTGGAATTTATCAAAAATTATAAGATATATTTGTACATATTTATGGTTGCGAATAGGTTTTATATATACCTGTAAAATATGTATCCACACCCAAGTAAAAATTTTTTATTTTGAATGTGTTTTCTGTGACGCCGCCAAATATTACAGTTACGTGAAAATCACCCATATATTGCTTGGGACACACTGGGAGAATTTTCGTAGAAAAATGTTATGTGTATACATATATTATTTATTTAAACGTATACTTATGAAATTAATTAATTGTCCGTTGGAAAGTGTAAATAATATTCATATTAAAGTAATTGTGATATTAATTATTATAATAATTAATAGGGCAGTATAGTCGAGGTTGGACCACTGTCTAGATAGGCCATTCGCGTTTTTTTGTCAAGTTCACTAGCGCCACCTACGCGCATGCTTGTCGAAGCTTTTTTTAGTAAAACCTATCTTTTTGTTCAATTACATTTTCGGAGAATCAAAAATTGTGTTTTCTGTGACGTCGGTACAAAAAAAGCTCAAAAAAGCTTTGTGCATCATGTGGATAATCAGAGA